GAAATTCTATTTATTTGTAGTGAATACTAATAGGGTGTCCATTTTACTCTATGTATAATTTAGTCCTAGGTGGGAACTTGAACCATGTTGACAAATGGCTACTTAACAGGGACCAAATATAAATCGTTTTCCTTAATATAATCGTTGGAATTCAAACTCAATTGTAATAAATAAACTTTTTGTAAAGTTATAACAGTAATTTCTTCAAAAATATCGAAACATTTCGATAAGAGTGCAAGTTCCGTGTGCAAATATAAACAGTACCATCGCCTGCGCCGTTTATCTGCCTCGCGATATCTTTATTTTGGCAAGTCGAAGGACCACGCCTCTTAATCTTGCTTCGTTGACACGAATAAAACAGCCGCACGTACGATACCGTCGATACCAGTCCCGCAAACAGCCAGCCCCATGGTCTCCCATACTCCTGGCGTCACTACGCTTGCAGTCGATCAATCTTCGTTCTTTATTGAACACGCGTCGTGTCACATAAATTTATGTATGTAGATATCAATAATAATAAACACTTGAAACTTCGATCGAATTTTTACAATGACTCACGGAAGTCAACGATTTACCATTGCACACTGTTCGGATCAATTTGACTCGAAGCTAATAGTTTGATTCTTATTTATATTTTTTATTGTAGAAATTTGTAAATCAATTACACACCAATAGGTTGATGTACATTATAATCTAACCATAGGCAATTATATTTCCATAATTCGATTTTCGATCAGGCCCAATTTATATTTTTCTTGAGAACTTTGGAAACTCCAGCGTTTGAGTAGCTTCAATTCACAGTAAATTGCACATTATTGCCGCACGGGTAACGAAAAATAACGTTCAGTTGGTTATTAAAAGTATTGCAAAATAGTCATTGTCGGATTATTCATCTCTGAGAGTCGAGGTGGTCTGTAGTTAATGGTTAATTCAAGGAATAGTGATGCAACAGTTTATTGAACCGTTCACGAGGCTTAATGCCATGTGCACTATTAATCTAAATGATAAATACTCGTGAATAATAATAATAATTCAGGACAGATTATTTTCTCTTTCGAGTAATTACAAGAGAAAGGCGTGCGTGGTATCGTGATCCACGACCACGTGCGATTCCGTTCGCTTCGAGGTACAACCGTAAGTGCGAACTTCGAGGGACAAGTTAACGAGATCACGGCTGGCACACCCCGGTCGATTAGTCACCGTAAGGAAAAGGATCGACGTGTCAATTTGGTCGATGTAGCAATGATAAATGCCCTTTGTACGCGTCGCCGGTTAAAGAATAAAGTTTTACCGATTCGATTCTTTCGATGTCCACCCGATAACGGGCGAGCTGACTCGCAACGGCACGCTGACTGCCTATCCGTTCGGTGACAAATAACGAACGTGTAATTAGCAGCGAGCGAAGTCTTTGCGAGCGATACTTAACATAAGTTGTCGCGTTGTTATTTATGATGCTGCACGCGACGTGGACCGATTGCATTACGAATCTGAAGCTTGGAGTGAACAGTTTCGTGGATTGATTCGATTAGAAGCGCTAAACTTTTTCAATTTCTGAACGATATTGGGAAATCTAGACTGATACAAAACTGTGCTTTTATTATTGTTACTCATTCTTTACGTTAAGACTCCTGAATTAGCGGAATCCTGAGCTACGAGTCCACCTATGCGGTGCAAAATGTATCAACTCTACTGCGATTCTGCTAATTAGTTTCAAACAAGACAGTGCGAACTTATACCGTTAGAATCATTATTGTTGACAATCAAGATAATTTTAATAGAAATTGTCAACGTTAAAAATGAATCCCGATATTTAAGAAATACTTGATAAAAAGTTTCTAAAGGTTTAAAAGATTCGCCCAAATAGATACCATGGATTTAAAAAAAAATCAGTTATACAGTAATTAATATTTATACAAAGAAATTGGTTAAAACTATCAATTTTATTTTCGGAAGTTTCGTCTAAGGAACAGAAACAATTATTCCTAACAAATTGATTTCCAACAAGAACTTGTTCCTCACTACACTTACAATTAGAATATACTTTCAGCGCGTAAGATTGTAGGGTAATGTTGCTCATAAATTAAACGAAAAATGGTTTTTAAACTTCATTCATATTATTAGATCGACTATACGATGCGATCTCGAAATAACTGTAATAACGCGTGTCGCAACGAAAGGATTAAGAATTCGTGTACATGTCGAATCCATTAACCTAGTCGCGTGGCTGAGTTTTTTCGTCGTGCTCTCTAAAGAATGTCCTTTCTGTTACGTTCAAGGCGGTACACTTCGATTTTCCAACTGTATCTATATATATGTGGCCGTGCTGGACCATTTTGGCAAAAATAGCGCGAGCGAACTACGGAGAAACGAACCGGTTCTGGTCATATCGTTCCGGTCGATGGTAATAATCGGGGGTTAACAAAAGTACACTTTATTAGTAAGTATTGCACGTTTTGGACCATTGGGTAATAAATTTACATCATAATTGATCGATCGTTTTTACGAAGACCTGTGTATCACTGTGCAGAGATGTTCAAACTGCTAAACATACTACAGTCAGTGCTTCACCAGTCTTTTATGGATAGGTATATCAAGAAGTTGTAATAATAGTAATTTAAAACTTGGACATTCCTTTGAATTACAAAATGAAAATGTTAACAAGAAAGTACAAAAGTAATATTTTATTACCTTAAATATTCAATCGAATTGAAAATTCAATGTGCAGGCGGCTAAAAACAATGGCGTTGCGTCTCGGGAATCGTCTACCAAGACTTGTCAGTAGGGCTGATGGTAGACGACCCCTACCCCAGACGCCGGGGTTGCTCCTCGGCGGAGCCCCTTAAGTAGCCAAAGGCTCTAATTACCGCTTGCGAGAAAACTCGCCACCTCGCAGCCGCTACCAAAAACACAAGCGACTGGGAGAAATGTCTCCACAGATCGCCTATCCCACCAGATCTATAAATGCTTATGTTTGTACTGTTCTTTTTCTTAGAGTATCTATCAGTTGTTAGGATAAACTGATTAAATTCTAGAAAATTTTCTTTACGCTTTCACAGGTTGACTGCCACAGTAAACAAGGCCTACGTAGCCAGACAAACTTTATTTCATTTTTTAAGTCATAAATTGTCGAAAATATATACGTTCACTTAATATAGAGGCTGTTGGTCTTGTCCTAAATTATATTGCGATGTTAGTTTTGCGCAAAACTTTTGTATCGGCATTTAAATAATCCAGCTTATTTACAATGTGCTTGTCACTCATATTTGGACGACGTGGCAGTCAAAGTGTTAATATACCAAACGTCAGATAAGTGATACCACGTTTAAACTTCGACCAATATCATCGTAATATTTATAGCTCGAATCTGAAAATCTTCACTCTACGACAGACTCAAAAGTTCAAGCACATTCACAGCACAGATACGAGTGTGGATAAAACCTCACTTTGCCAAACACCTCAAAAACAGGATCGATCGCCATACCCAGATCTAAACCGTCTAACAATTACCGTCTTTGATCGCGGTCGTATCCGGATCGTCCTGATGAATATTAAATATCCACGATCCCTCCAACGCCGTTACCAGTCCTCGTGTATCAGAAAGTCCTCCGATGCGTCCCACGTCTTTCTCATCGGCAGACAGCCTGGTACCTATCGCCGGCGCGTCGAAAAGGGAGGAACAGAGACAGAAATGGGGGAGAAAGGGACACAGAGGTCTCGGTGCAAGAAATGAGGACCGAGCGAATAAGCATAGTCGAGGGGGAGGCAGAGTAGAATGCTCGACAATCACGATCGACACGAGATCGAGTACGTCTGGTCAATGAGAAAGAGAAAGAGAGAGAGAGAGAGAAAGAGAGAGGAGTCGGGAGACGCGGCGCGAAACCGATCGTAATTAATAGACGAGGCTCGCGGCAAGGGGATGACCCCGACGAGTGGACGTAATCAGGTCCCTGCTACTTGGGGATAGCTGGGAGGCGGACTCGACGAAACTCTAGTCGACGTCATTTGTTTAAGTTGATCGTTGCCCGTCGCCAGCCGAATAAGGCAACCCGTGTTCGCCACTCCGCGGGGAGTGCGAAAGAACAAAGAAGGAGCCGTGAGCTCCGGGCCTCCGGGACGAGATCGTGGCGCTGGTAGAGAACATGGTGGAAGAGAGAGAGAGGGAGAGAACGAGGGAGAGCAAAAGGGGTCGGTGAAGAGCAGACACCTGCTGTTCGCTGCATTGTCTTCCTCTCTTTTCTTCCATTTGCTCCTCATCGTCCTTTATCTTCTCTACTGCTTCTCCTCCTCTTCTTCTTCTTGTTCTTCGTATTCTTCTTTGGATCCATTCGGAACAATCCACGAGAGTCCCTTCGTTGGGATGGTAGGTGAGCCCTTCGGCGAGGCGACGACAAAACAATTGGCCAGCGTAAAAGGCGAATAGGCGTTTTTTCGTGATCTGGGGAGGCTCTATTTCCAAATCGAGGAGCGGCGGGCCCGAGTATGGGAATCGATCTGTTCGCAGCACGAAATCCTGGGAAGACGGCAGTTGCTCTGGGAAAATCGCGGTTTGATCGTGTTCCACGTGACCTGGCGGTTTGCGGATGAGAAATGGGGGTTGGGAAGAGTTTATGGGAATGTTTATAGGGATTTGGTAGTGCCGATAATATCGTAGGTGATTGTATCAAGCATCGGGGTGTAATACCACCGCGGGAAAAAAACATACATCACAAAATTTCAGTTTTCATTTTATTACCATGCTTCGAAAGTTAGGAGATACGCAATTAATGCATAAACATCCGTAGCTTATTCATAATATTCATTGAAATAATAAAATCGTGTTTCTAACGGCATATTTTTCTTTATTTACAGACACGAAATGTCCCGATGAGACGAACCATGCAAAGAATACGGTGAAGAGACAGCGATGGCAGCAGCTTCGCAAAGAGCACGAAGAAGCGGGAATCATTCTTGAGATCACCTGGGCAAGGTCCATGGGTTCGTAGAGGGCATGAGAGCTCATCATGTTCGAACACCGACACGGGCAACGAACGCTGTCGACCTGCAACCTCCTCGGCGTGATATTTCTCCTAGTGATCGTCGCCGGTAGCTACGATGTCTCCGCGGATCTCAACTCCGAGTTTGTCAAAGGGAAAAGTAAGTTGAATCGTATTCCCAGTGGAAACACTGGAGAACCCTCTGTTTGATCTTTGATTCAAAGGAACGAACGGAAAATGTAATTTAGTATTTACATATACTTTAACATTAACAGCAGCTCAATAATGTGTGTATTAAATGTTCGCGCATGCTTTGTGGATTTCTCAGGTTTACAAGTTTGACCAGTTTTTGTACATATTTAAAAAATACTAATTCATTCACTGTTTGTCAGTGGATAATTTTCACCTTTATCGGTCGTATGTCACCTCTGACGCGACATTGCAATTTTACCGTATAAGTTGTATGTCACGTCAGAAGTGAGGACTGAACAGATGAAATTCCTAACTACGATCCAGTAGCAAGTTACAGACAAAAAGTTCTTGTTGACTACGGACTACTTGTCTCAGAGATGAATTTGAATTTTTCTTTCACTAGCACTACCTAGTGGAGAATTTTGAAAGACCTAGAGCCTACGTATTTCAGTACGTTTAGTTGGCAGTAAATTGCACACTATTACCAAATTGATCACGAGAAGTAACATTCAGTTGGTTATCAAAAGTGTCATAAAATAGTCGTCGAATTATTTATCTCTGGCACGAATCACCTGTAATTAAGGGTTAATAATTGCATTTACAAAGGTTATGAATACAATTGTGGCAGAGGGACGCCATCTTCTAGGAGCATATCCATCCGGACCTGATACTTTACTTGTATTAGAATTATCAATAACGGGTAAGGCAATATATTTATTCAAGATTCTTTAACAGTTGACTGCCACGTTACCCAAATATAGGTGATACGTCGTTGCAAAGTAGCTGGATTATTTAAAAATACCGTAAAAAACAGATATATTGTTGCGTGGGCGCGACATAATCTCCAATAAATAAAGGCCAATGTTTATAAAAAGAAGAAGTATTCATTTAAAGAGGAGGAGTACTTATCTTTGACACGTCTTTCTCGTTCTGCGATCGTACCAAGACTCTCTACTTTGGTAGTCAACGTGTTAAAACGTTTTGTCTAAAGATGCGTATCCACTTGCGCGTATCCCCGTACCGTATCACCGTTGTGTATCAATGTAGATGGGCAAGCGTTGCATCGTTGCGTATGAAAATGTATCGTATGGTGATACGATACAACGATACGCAATGCCGATACGATACAAGGAGACGCAACAAATGGATACGCAACTTTACATGCATCAAACATAGCATGCATACTTCTGAATAGTACTTTGACTGGAAAACTGAAGAGATCCAGTACTGAATACTGGAAATCTTTGCTGGTATTGAATCTCCAACTTGATATTACACACAGATCATTTTTAACACTAGGTTTACGGGCACTTATCGTGTAGGTATCTCCACAGCACGCATCAACGAACCCGCAGATTTTCTTTAAAAAACAACTTATTTTATATAATACACAATTTATGATCTCTCAAATTAATGCATAGCTATAGAGATAGATATACCACATAGAGAATTTCGAGGTTAGAAAGCATTCGAAATGCGTCAGAATGACGCGTCCCGTAAACCTAGTGTTAAGAAACAAAGTGAAATTGTTCGTTAATTATTAAGATTACGGTTAATAAAGGTCAGTATTCTTTTACTCAAAATTTAACGCTGTTCGATATTTTGGCATAATAAATATAGCATTTTATTTAAAAAATCGAAGTTGACCTTCAAATCTCTGGAACGCCTCCACTTACAAAAAAAATATATGCATTACATAATGTATCTCTCTAAACTTCACAACTTATCTATAAAAAAATTTTTCATACAATGCATATTTCAAAAGTCATTCAAGGTGAACAAGTTGCGTGGACCGCTCTGTATAATAAGTACTTGTGCAGTATTGATCAAAGAAATGAACAAGAAGGAAGTACTAAACCAACGCACACATTGTTTTTCTCAATAATCGAGACGCTGTCGCGTGTTTCACAGGTATACATATAAGTACTCGATACTTCCCTCTCGCACATTACAAGCGCCATTCCCTAGCCCGTGGCTGCACGCATCGATCGTTCGACGGTTAAGAAGCGACGAAGACACACTCGTTGTGTACAAGATCCATCAAAATCAATCCGAGGATCTCTTCCTGCTCGGAGTGCCGCGGCTGTACATCATCGCAGCTGTCTGGAAAAGTAGAAAGTAAAGCGTGTGTTGCGCCAGGTTTAACGGCCGCGTGGGTGGTTGTTCGGCTAGCCGAGGGGTCCCTTTTACCCGAAGTACCTGGAAAGTACCGTTCTTCCCACTCGACGCGCCGAGTGGAAACTCTTTAAATCTCGAGCCTCGTCTCTCCGCTAGGAAATATTTAGGGACGCGCGCGTGTAGGTGCGCACTTGCGTGTGTAATAACAAGATTCCTCGTGGTTCGTGGCCTGTGGTGCCTCTCGGTGCTTGACCCACATCGGCCAACAGCACCGACACTTCTGCCAGAACATTCTGTTCGAATCATTCCCGTTTCTTTTTATTGCTAGGATAGTTGTTACTCGCTTTACCTGGGCCACACGCGTGAACCGCCGTTTGACATAAGGCTGGACTTTGACATTCGGATGATTCTTGTCGATTATACCTGAGGAGTATACAGGGTGTAACAAGAATGTTGTCCGACCCGGAAATGTTTTTCCTTACCAACAATGTAATCCGAGGCTTCGTTACCGAGATATTAACAAAAAACCCCGACCAATCAGAGCGCGAGTTTGCCAGCCGAGTTCCCACGGTTACTTTCGCTACGCGCTGCGACTGGTAGGCAGCGTTACCGCGGGAACTCGGCTGGCAAACTCGCGCTCCGATTGGTCGGGGTTTTTCGTTACTATCTCGGTAACGAAGCCTCGGATAACATTGTTGCTAAGGAAAAACTTGTTCCAATTCACCCCCCGAGACAACATTTTTGTTACACCCTGTATAGGCAAAGGATGGAGAATCATTGGAATACCACGTGTACACTGTTGTGATTTAAGAGTACTCTTTAGTGTTTACAACTTTTTCTGGGTAGAAAGTATCGATGATATAAGTACAACTTTCATCTCGAGACATAGCTAAAGTACTTTTCCTTATAAGGAAAGGGCCTTAACTTCGGGTCGCTGATTTTAATGAGAATTGTAGAATATAGTGGGCTTCTCCTGCACTAGATATTGCCCCCATACAGGGGCAGTTACTTGAAAATATTTTGAATTATTCACTTTTCGAAGCTTTTCGCGTAAATTAAATTATGTTGCCCTATTATTCGTAGGTGTTGTAGCGTCGGGGCAATGTCAATGGTTTCTACTATGACGATCATAGATCAAATACGTAAAAATAATTTTTGGAACGGGACGTTCAATAATTTGAATTTCTTTTGCTATTTTTCTGATAATTAATTATTAAATATAAAAAACATTTAAACTAATTAAAGTTTTTTACATACATAACATAAACTAGATTTTTTAAATTCTTGATAAAGACAACCGGATACTGGTGATAGTTATTCACAAAACAAGTCGTTCATCATAGTGTTAATAATCAATAACAAAAAAATCATTGGTAAGTCCGCTCTTTTTTTATTCAACACGTTAATTAGATGAACGCAAAATTATTAGTCTAAACCATTAAATAACGATTCTCGTAGACGGTATGGAAAGCTCGAGTTAGAAGTTCTCGGAGCTCATCCTCGAACTTAAAGACGCGGCTCGTCAGACCGATAACCACCCAAAGAGCCCTCGAAGCGCTGCAATTTTCAGAGATATCACTTAAAGTGGTCTCCATAAAGGTTTCCATTAACATGATAAGAGGAGGTTGATACCTTCGTGGCCATTAGGCGACGGTAACTTACGCCGTGTCGCAACGCTCCACCGTCCCCGAGATACTCTTCGAACTTCTTTTTCTTTTCTCCCTCCGTTCGGTCGGGCAAGCGGGAAGATACGGTTTGACGTTATTGCCGGACGATATTCGACGAAGCCGGACGATTTTTCTGCGGACGATTAAAGTCCGTGGGTAAGTTAATCGTTGCACTTTATCGTTCCTGAGCTTTTAACGCGTATCGGTCCTCGGAATGAAGCGTCAATTAACACCGAGAATTTCGGCGTGTCTGTCTTCGGTGAGGACGTGGGAATATACCTTATGCGCGGATCGAAGTCATTGGGAAATTAGTGGGACAGATCTGTCAGCGTAAAACCCGTTCGTTTGTACAACTGGTGATTATTCGTGAGTTTAAGAATATATACTTCTCTTGGAATTCTACACGTCACGGTTGTTTAGCTTGAAATTTTTACTTGAAATTTATTCAGTACAGATGATTCGATTTCAGAACAATTAAACTTATTAACAGAAGCACTTTTCTGTTTTTAAATACACGTTTTAGCACGCGTGTTGGACGATGACTCTCTTACCACGCATTGAAATCACCAGGTCGACGCCTGAGTTATTCGTACGTTCACTGTTATATTTCATTTCAACACAAAGATTAAGAATTTCCTATTGTGAAAATATTCTTTTAAACTTTTAGAGTGAGAATAAGAAAGGGTAGATCTCTTAAATAATGACCAGAGTATTAATTGTACATCCTACATAGACAAACTTCGTGATAGAACCGCGTTTATAGCAATTAGGAATATTGCGTAATAAACAATCTAATTCAATATTCTCCATAAAGAAGCCTCACATGGGAAAAATTTATCCTGAAACTTCCGTTTATTTTTTCGCGACAAATCAACCTGTCCTCGCTTCTTTCGCGAATTTTGCAACACTCTGCCTCGATCTCAGCGATCGCCTTATGCAAATTACTCTTTCTTCGTTCTCATCCATAAATCATCTCGTTCTTGCGTTCACAATATTAGAAGAAGCTAAATTCATATACATAACGCTACCAACGTAAACTGTAAAAGTAAATTTCACCGGGCTTTTATCTGATCTTTTTCCGTCTATGAATGCAATTTTGCGGAGTTAACAAAGACATCGGTTTCCACGTCCAATAAAAACCGGTCACAGTCACGATCCTCGCGATTAGTTTTTTGCTAGGGCG